GGTGTCCCTTCTTTTTCCTGAGACGGGACAAGTGGGGAGCTGTGCCTCAGATCGTCCTGGAGAAGCACAGGCATGCAAGGTGCCCCAACTCCTCCACGCCTGCCTGTCCTGGCCAGTGGAATGGGACAGCTGATGGGGGTGGGAGGAAAGGGGGTGCAGGCTCTGGGGGGCTAGACCTTGGGGCGGACATGGGGAGGGGAGGGGGTTGGGACATGGAGTCCAGCGTCAGAGGCCTGTGTAAAACCCCATTAGATGTGCTGCTGGAAGGGAGCTGAGCATCCTCACGGCCTCGGGGAAGGTGGCCCCGTCAGACTGGCTCTGGCCTGTGTCCCAGGCTCTTGCGACTCAGATCCTCTGATAGCCTCCCGGGTCCTTGACTCCATGGAAAAGCAGGAGGAAGGAGGGTCAGAGAGCCCCCTTTGTCTCAGCACTACCTAGGGAGGGAGAGGCACTTGACCTGTTCTGGGCACTGCCAGGCTGCCCCCCAAGTCCTGCTCCTCCCTGCTCTGTGCCTGGACAGCACACAACTGCTTGAGCAAACCCATGCACAGGGGAAACAAGCCCCAGCCCGGCCTGAGTCTGGGACATGAGGGCGAGGTCAGGATGGCTCCCAGCACCCTCCCTCGCTGCTCCTCACTGTTGCCTGCACTGCCTTCTGTCCCCGCAGCCCCCAAGTTCCCCTGTGTCCTGGAGTGCCTTGGAGCCACAGGGTCACAACTGAGGGACCTTGGGTGAATGTCTGTGCGGTTTCAACTGTTTTACATGGGCATGTGTTCTGTTTTGTTTTATATTACTGGGGACTGAACCCAGGGGCGCTTGACCATCTAGCTGCACCCCACCCCTTTTTTAAATTCTATTTTTTTGAGCCAGGGTCTCATTAAGATGCTGGCACTAAACTCTCAATCCACTTGCCTCAGACTCATGAGTCACTGGTAATTACTGGTATACACCACCAGGCCCAACTTGCATTGTCTGTTGTTTTTTTTTTTTAATTGTTATTAAATAGTAATGAAAGTGTACC